TTAAACCGCGGCCCCCGCCCCGCCCCCCCCCCCCCAGTCGTCGTCGGGCGGTGCTTCCCGCCTCCGGGGCGGGCTCGCCACGCCTTTCCTCTCACGTGGGGAGGGGGAGAGCCGATGGGTTTCCCGCCCTTTTGGGTCGGCGCCTGATGTAGGAAGGGAAAAAAAATATATCGCGCTCTCTCTCTCTCTCTCGCCCTTCAGTCTGTGTGGCGCTTGTATGAGGGGGGCGGCGGCGGCGGCGGCGCGCTTCCCCTCACGCGCGCAGGCGCACACAGAATCGACTGCCGCTCGCGGTCTCTCTCGTGTTCAATCGCCTCAGGCGGCGGGGGACGTTAGAAGGGCCGCCCCTCACCCCGCTCGTTCCCCTCAGGGGGAAGCGGCCGCCACTCGGCTTGACGACGAGTCTCGTCGGCCTCGTCTCCCTCTCACACTGCAGGCCTGGCAGCCCCGACCAGCCTTCCTTCTCAGCCGAGTCGGTGTGAGCCAGCTCACGGTTCTTTCGCCTCCAGCTCACACGTTTTTTGTTTCCGCTCAGGAAGGGATGGCTCCAGAGCAGACTAACTGGATGCAGTATAGCCAAATCACTGGCTCACAACTCGAATGCCAGGAGCTCACAAAGCTGTCTAATTTGTATATTGTTTAAATGTAAATTTTAAATTGTAATGGCCAATGGCTACACAATAAATTTTACTACTACTACCAGTAGCTCACAAAGTAGGATTTTTTTCCTCACAAGAACTCCGCAGGTTAGAAGGGAGCATTGGCCCTGACATCGCTTTTCTTGGGAGCCAGCCCCCACTGAATAAATATATGGGGCTTCTGGGTGGAGAGGCCTCACCTTACTCTCCCAGTTCTTCAGTCTTAAGACCCGTCCACATGCACACCCCCTCAGAAGTAGCTTTTTGCTTTCAAGAGACTGACAGGAGGTGGTAGAGTTTGTGAACAAAGAAGTGTGAAGGGAGGGCGGCTGTAGGGCAGCGGCCAGAAGAAGGCTGTTGGAAAGACCAGAAGAGCCTCGCATAACATGTCACCACCACCAGGCTGGGACCTTCTAGAAACTTCTGGAAAGACCAGAAGAGCCTCGCATAACACCCACCACCAGGCTGGGACCTTCTAGAAACTTCTGCAGTCCTTTGGCAAAATCCAATCAATGCCTCCTTTTTGAGATCGAGGGATCCCAAGTTCATGCTGGCACTCCAAATGGCGCTTTATACATTGAAATTATTGGTCATGTTCAAGTTTATTACGGTCATAGACCTGGGGTGGATTCAAACATCCTCCAAGTAGCCTCTCTCCAGGCTAAGTGGCTCCTCCTCTAACAGAAGAGCCACATAAGATGGAGGAAAGCTCCTTAGATTGGAGGAAGTTCAAACATGAGCCAAAGGGAAATGTGGGGTATCAATATTTTAATTAATTAATTAATAATGTTTGCTCAGTGGAGGGATAAGATAGGGGGAGGATCCACCCCAATAATGACAAATGTTTGTTTTCGTTGCAGCGTTCATTGTCATTTCCCCCTTAGTTTTACTGGAAACACTGTTCAAGTGTTTCTGTAACTGCCTTTCTGTGTAAACTTTCACTCATGTTGTCTAGAAATTGGAGATGACTCTAGGAAATTCCTGATCACTTTTCTCCCACACCCTGGTTCATTGAATTCTAGGGATGGGACTGGGTTTCAAGAGCTGTTTGGGGTAAGATTTCACTTGTCTCAGTTGCCCTTTTCTCATGTTGAATGTTTCCTCTTAGAATTAATGTATTTTTTGCATTGCTATTTTTTATCAAAATGGCGTCAAAGAAATGGAAGGACCACCTAAGGCAAGCCCAACCCAATGACAATATAGATTTTTTTAAAAAAAGTTATATTTATTTATTTTATTTTATTTATTTATTTATCGTTTGATTTATTACCCCGCTCGAACCCCCGCTAAGGGGTCTCTGAGCGGCTTACACTTTGAATCTCATACCTAATCTATGGCCACAGAACACAGGGTGGGGGGCAGTCCCTATCAGCACCCAGTGGAGGTACCGGACGGTCTTCAGGTCGGCGTTCCTCGGCTCGATGTCTCTCAGCTGTCTTCTGGCTCCATTTCGACGGTCACTCCTGCGGTGGGTCAGCTGGGCCCCTCCGACGTGCGGCGCGCTCCGGCGCGGCTGCAACTCTGTCCTTCCGGCTCCGCTGCGCCTGCACCGTCCGCTTTCCCCACGTCGTCCGACTCCGCCTCTCCGCCGCCGTCTGCTTCCGTCGTTCGAGCTGTACCGGGACGCCATCTTTTAAAAAATATTGTGGCTCGGCTAGCATCAGATTCCTGGGACCAGCCATGTTTCTCCTCAGAATTACATTCCACAGTCAAGGGCAAAGCCACTGCGGCCATGCACTGTGTGTTCGTTTAAAAAACCCTGTGCCATACTGCACGCAATACTGTTCTGCTATTAATATCTGTCCCTGGACCTGCTTTCCTCTCATTAGAACTAATTAATTGCTGCCAGAACAAGTAAATTATTCAGCAGGGGGAAAGCGAGCAGGTTGTCTCACAGCACACGGTTAAGTGGCGCACAAGGATCAGGGAGCAATTAAAAGGCTGCCGGGCTGCCTTGGATCCCTGGCGCTGCCAGGATCCCTGGCGAGAGAGGAAAGTGGGATAAAATTTCCCAGAGGAATAAACAGATGTGGCAACCAGCCTCGGCGTTTCTGCCATGCCTCTTTCTTGAAGCCGTTATCTGCAGCTGCCAATGTGGCTTTTGCCAGGTTTTGCCCTGCTGCATCCTGTTATCTCTCCCTGCCTCCTGATTCCCTTCTTTGGTTCCCACACACAAAAAAGAGCTCTGCTGCTGTCATCCGTTTGTTCTTCTGGCTTTCTCCTTTTTCTTTTCTCACCCCAGCTGTCGCTCTTACAACATTTGCCTAAAAACACTGAAAAAAAATCACTGGGCCTGACTGCATACAACTCATGTTACTGGGTGACAATGGTGGAATACTTCCATTTATGCATTGTAATGATAAAATATGTATCTAAGAGACCTCTGCAGTGTTCCCTCTAAACTGTGGAGTCCTGTGAGCAAAAATTCCACTTTGTGAGCCACTGGCATTAAGGTTGTGAGCAGGTGATTTGGCTGCTACATAAATCAGTTTGCTCTGGAGCCGTCCTTCCTGAGCTAAGGCAAAAATGTGTGAGCCGGAGGCTAAAAAACTGTGAGCTAACTCACACTAACTCAGCTTAGAGGGAACACTGCTCTCTAGTACTGCCTCAGTGTCCAAACAACATTCTTATTTCTGTGAGTGTGTTATGGATCCAGCGAGTCAGAGGGTTTGCCATGTTAGTCTGTAACGGCAAATTAAAAGAATCCGGTGGCACCTTAAAAACTGATTTGGGAAGATGTTACAAAGAAAGGCCAATTTAAAACAAGACCCAATAAAAAGAGTAATAAATCCCTCAGGGGATGAGGACCACTCCCAATGGCTGATAGGAAAAATTGGATTAACATGTCTAATCCAGGAAAGTACGATTAAATTAGACTAATACACAGGCCATATAGAGTTTAGCTGAATTTATTAACATCTATTAATGGTGGGTGATGCTAAGATATGAGACCTAAAGTGAGTGGGAAATCGCAAATTCTTAATTACATCTGAGGGAGTGTGGGGAGATAATACTGAACTTCTTAATGAATCCATACTCCTCATTTATGTATTTTTCCCTTGAACTCTGAGATGATTTATCCATTAGGCACAGTAGGCATAGTGCCTAGGACCCATGATACTTTTAGGGGCCCACACAAATATTTTAATTTCTTTTAACATCAGAAGAAGAAGAAATGACCTTTTAGGTTTGAAGAAAATGGGGTTTTTTCTCACATCAGAAAATAATTGAATTTTAGGGCCCACGAGAATCTATTAAATTTTTCCTAAAACAGAAAACAAAATAAAATGTTGAAGTATTTAAAGTTATATCAAAAATATTTTTAATGTCAATATTATTATTGTGGAAGGGGCCCACAAAGGCAAAAGTACCTAGGGCCCATGAAAGTCATAATGCAGCCCTGCTGGAAGTTCTTCTGTAGGCGAATAATCATGTTTAAGTCAACAACAGAATGCCCTGGAAGATCAAAACGTTCCACCACTGGTTTCTGAATATTGCTATTTGTAATGTCAGACTGCCCTGTTTGGCTAACAGAGAGAGCAGATGGGCATTATTGACACATGAGGAAGAGCCTGAGATGGCATAACCAATGTGATTAGATCCTGTGATCGTATTCCTTCAGTCTATATGGGGACAATTTGCTTTGTTGGAAAGTCCAGTTGGTGGGTTTGTATCTCTGTTGGGTGGCCATGTGGATGCAAGTGAGAATCTGTTTTGGGTCAGGAGGCTGTCTATAAGTAAGAAAAGACCAGCCACCCCAGGCCTGTGTTCAGGAAATATGGATGGGCTAGAAGCCATTGACTGGTTTGACCTGCAGGAGAGGAGACCACCAGTGGTGTTCTGTTACTATCTCCACTGGACCAGTCTTATAGTAGGCTATTTCTGGGTACGAGTTTCTCCTTGTCAATCTGTTCCTTTTAATATATTATAAGCCAAAAAAATACAGACCAACATACCTACATATACATTGAGGGTTTTCCATACATCATTGGCTTGACTATTCAAGGTCCTCATACACTATATTTCAGTTTATATTCTTATGTATATATTTTGCAAATAGTTAAAAATAAGAATTCTTATCTTCTAGATTGGCTATAAATGTATATATTTCATTTGATATATTCTCCAAATCATTTTTAAAATCTTAACTATGTATCTTCAAATTTTTCTTCAATCTATCCTCTCTTTTCAACCCTTTATAGCCTTTTATCAGTTATTCCTTATCTTATCACAACTTCTTCAGTATTAATGTCAGTCCAGCTCTTTATACTTTTTTCAGACATTTCAGTTTTTAAAACATTGAGATTTTTAAATTTAATGTCTATTGTCGCTTATTTTAGGAGTATTTCAGGTCTTCTTCTGTGTTGGTACCAGTCCAACTCTTTCTTTTATGTATGTTTAAGTTTTAGTCAATCTGTTTCTTTACTTATTTGGGTGGGTATTGTAATTCCAGGAATGCTTCTAATAAATCCTTCAGGTGCATGAAGTGCCTCATGAAGTGAGCTGTGTCTCAGGAAAACTTATGCTAAAATAAATGTTCTTTATGGTGCCACAGGGCTCCTGTTTACAGTCAAGACTGCAGAGGCAAGTTGAATCAACATCTGGGCTTTTATTGGAGTGCTCAGATAAGAATATTGTCATCTACAGATTCAATTTGGGCTGGCAAAAAAAAAGTCTCTGTGGATTACAAACAAGTCCAACAGGCAGTTGGGTGCATCAGTTCTAAAACTGTTTCCTTGTCATATACTTCAAACCTACTCAAAGACACTTAATTACCCCCCTTTTTTTGTCCAGTGGCACCTTTAGCTGGAGTTATTTGTCGAAAGACCGTAAGGAAGCTGGCAGGCTGCTACGTCTCACACGGAATTATCCTGCTGAATTAACGCCTGATGAAATGTGCACAGCCTCAAAGGAAAGCAACTGGAATGTGTGGAATTCCTGAGGAGCTCTTAAAATGTGTTTTGTTCTCCTTTTCTGGGCCTGTTGCTACAAGTGCAGGGTCATGTGGAGAACAATCAGTCTTCCCGAACAGATGCAAAGACAAGTGGAAATCAGAAGTAACATGAAGTTCTGATATTCCTTGTGGTGTCAACCGCTAATCCGGCCCAGGGATCGGGTCTGGCTCATGAGAGATTCTCGATGAGAAAGTTATCATTTGTTGGTTGATCTTAACTTAGAGGTTTTGCTGACAGACAGTGCCAATACTTCCATCTCTTTTACAGTGACTTTTCAAGCTATGTTATGTGTAGCCATCTGTATAGATAAGTTTTCCCACGGGGCCGAGTTGCACCTTCCCAGGAAAATGATGGTTGGGAAGAGAAGTTTAAACCCCCTGTCCAAATATGAACCAGGCTCATACTCTCTTAGGAATTAAGTTCCGAACATGGAACTCTGTCATTTGACAGCCAGGAAGGGGACACAGGGACTTCATAAGGTGTGAATTGGTCCTTAGATAACCCCAACTCCCCCACAACTACTAGTCTAAAAATGGGAAGTCTTTACATTGAATGGCACTACTAGACAGCTACCTAATGATAGCGACCTCAGAGTATAGTAGCTCCAAGAACATATCATATGTGACAGGAATGTTTTAGGGGAAATCTTACCTGTAACAATCAGTACATGTAAGGTTCCTCAGTGGGGCAAATAGTGGCTCTTTGGGGCCTTCTAAGGTGGGGGAAAAGGAAGACACATTGGGGTTCTGATCTGAATTGGGCCCCCACACTCCTGGGAATTGAGCTGCCAGCACAGAACTCCATGACTGCATCTCTTGACAGTCCACAAGTCCACCATGTGGACTTTGTAATGTATGAATTGGTCCTTTGAGATATTGAGGATTTTGTACAGCTAGTCAAATGGCGATAGGAGGTTAGCGGCTTATGCACAATGCCCGACCGGGTCCAATAAGGAGCCCCAGAGCCTAAGATTTGTGATGGGAGATATGGCTGCTCAATCCGACACCGTTTACAGACACCCATTCCTCGTAGCTCTGCATATCCAGGTCACCAAAAACATCACAAAGCACATCTGGTTGCCATATGAGCTTCCCACCCATTGACAGCAGAAGCGACTCCGTGCTGGAGCCGAGCATGTGAAGCAACCAAAGTCAAAAGGAAGAATCTCTGCAGCACCCTATTGTGGTCTACCCACTTCCTAACTGCAGCTTGAATGATCTCCCATAATAACTTCCTCCCTCTAGTCTCACTGTAGAGGGGAAACCCCTTCAGTAATCTCACTGACATCCGACCCACAGTCATTATCAAGCACTGGATATGGATTCTGTGCCACAGAAGCATGGGGGAAGTCACTGGAGGAAGAGTTGCTAGATGGATTTATTGTGGGTTGTTATGTAGACCTAAAGTGAAATGTCTGCTGTGTAGCACTGTGCAGGGCCTTGTGATGGTTTTAGGAAAGGTGGCAGTGTTCCACCATTAATCAATGGAAATTAGTAGGTGGGGGTTCAATCATGGATCCTTTAAACCTCTTTGGTGGACTCCAAACCTTTTATTCACCAGCTCCAACCTTTCCAAAGAAGAGGCAAGGTGACAAGGAAGGGGATTGAAAAAGATCAAAATTTATTTAGAATGGCTGATATATTATGGTCTCTCCAAATACAGATTGTTGCTAACAGGAATATTTTACAGCTTTGTAGTTCCTTTAAAATGTATCTGCCCAAAATCCTGCTCAAAAGAAGCACACGACAGTGGATGGCAGGGTTTTGGTTTAGTAGTTTGACCAGTGAGAGGTACCCAGAATCCCCCCTTCCCAAATTTAGCGGCTCACAAAGACGTATATTCCCAAGACTGAGAAGGACCCCGCTGGTAGCAACAGAAGCCGGCTCCTCAGACCACGTCCATTTAGGTGGACATTAAACTACACCCACATGCTCAAAAGCAAAGTTTTCTCCAGAGTGGATGATTCCAGACCTGGCAGGGGCCATCTTTGTCATAGGTCCTGTAGCCACCACATGGTTGCCAAGACACATGAATGCGGAGCAAACGCATCACCAAAGAGAGCCAGAACACACACTGTGAAGGGGGAAGGAGAACACCGCTAGAGCCAATGAGCCACGTGCCAGTCAAGGATGCTACAGTCCTCATAGATTGGGCAGATCTCTTCCCTGCAGAGGCAGATGCTTCCTCTTGAGTCCAGGCTGCACAGCATCCCCCCCACCATCAGAACCCAACACACAGCAGACTGAATACACTGGCTTCCTTCTTTTCAATGCCACACCAGTGATGGCTCTGGGAACCTCCGCCTTACGGAAATGCTAGCAGCACTTACTGCACCTCAGCACCAGAAGTTATACAGCGTCGACAAAGATTGTGACACTGCGAATTTTACACCACACCATATCCAGCTTGTCGCTTGATTCCTGAATTGCACCCTAAACCGAGCAAACTGCAAAAGAGTGTAGAAAACAACAATCCAGTCTCACTTCCACGTGACCTGCAAGACGCTGTGATTTGTAAAAGCAAAGGGGACATATATGAACGAGAGAATGGTCAAGGGCCGGAAGAGAGGCAGCAAAAACACACAAGAAGAGGAAGGGCGAGCGGGAGAAAAAGGGGGCCCGCCTGTCTTAACACACTTTGATGAGATGCCACTTTGAGCAGCAGCGCTTGTCTCTGTTCCATCAGTCGAGACAAAGAGGCAGGGCCGTTGACAGGCACAGAGAAGATAATCTGAGCTGGAGAAAGCACTGCAGGGTGGGCGGGAAGCAGCTAGTGGGAGAAGAAAGAGGGAGGGAGAAGCTAATATACAAGAGAAGACAGGAGGAGGAGGAGGCTGCAAATCTCAGGCAGTCTAAAGCTTCCCTCGTGTCTACAATGCTCTGGAACGCAAGTACTCATGATGCTGATTTGATGGCTTAGCTGTTCCCGTATCCCGTTCCTTTGTGAGCTGTGCCCAGATTTGTGTCTCTGCACCACCACTCCTCTGTTGTTAGGAAGAAGAAGAAGGAAAGAAAAAGAAAGACAGAGAAAGAAAGAAAGAGGAGGAGGAGGTGGAGGAGGAGATTGGATTTATACCCTACCCTTCACTCGGAGTCTCAGAGAGGCTTACAATCTCCTTTCCCTTCCTCTCCCCACAACAGACACCCTGTGAGGTCGGTGGGGCTGAGAGGGCTCTGAGAGAACTGTGACTGAGGGAACTATGGCTTGCCCAAAGTCACCCAGCTGGCTGCCTGTGGAGGAGGAATGTGGGGAATCAAACCTGGTTCTCCCAGGTTAGAGTCCATGCTCCTAACCACTACACCAAACTGCTGATTTAGAAGGCCTGGCAGCCAGTCTCTGGTACTCTCCATTGTCCAGCTCAAGGCAGACGTGCCTCAAGTCAGGGCTGGAATCCATCATGTAGGAAGCACAGGTGTTGTCCCAGAAACGGTGGACTTGAGGCCTTAACTGCTCCTGCAAAGAAGTGGAGGTACAATCCACATCTTTCTGGAACAGCCAACTGGTTCTTCCAAGCATCATGCCTGGTTATGGTAGGCGAGTGCTCCAGTAGGGTTGGGGTGGCTCTTGGCCTTGCAAGGCTTGACGGATCAGCTGGGGAAATACTGGCTCCTTGGAGACTTTTCAGGTTGGGGAAATGGTGCTGGGGGGGGGGGGCCTTCAGCTCCATCGCCTTGCACACTGTGGTCCCAATTCAACTCAGGACCATCCCTGCCTGAGAATTCAGTTCCCAGTGGGCAGCTCCCAGAGCATGTCTGTTGACAGTCCACATGTCCACCACATGGACTCTGAAACTTAGGAATCCGCCCCAATACTTTCAAACTCATCTTTTGCGGGTGGTTTGTGGCACGTTCCTCTTCAAAGATGTGGTTTTTGAGCCGGACAACCTCTTCACTCTTACAGACTTCCCATTCTCTATGCAACGAACTCAACCGACGTCTCGCAGTCTTTTGGCTTTGCCTTTTCTCCTTCCCTCCTAGCTTTTCCAGGGTGCTTAGTTATACCTAGCTTGGCCTTTCTTGCATCTGGCTTGAGAAATCTCAAGCCATTTTTAATAAAGCTAGAAGTCACCCGCTTTGCTTGTCCCCTTCCCAGGCCTCAGTGTCCTTCACCGCCTATCACAACAGCAACTTTCTCGTTTTCTGTTTGCTGTCATCAGCTTCGCTAGCTCAATATAACCTAGCAAAAGAGGGGCGCCGATGCCTTTCCTGTGCGGAATCTGGCATCGGTTCTCACTTAAAGAACAGTCGCTTGCGCCTGACCACAGAGTTAGGTGGTAGGGAATGATGACACAGACTGACAACTGAAAAGCTAAAGCCGACAAAACATCTTTTGGAGCAGGGCAGAAAGCCCAGTCTTACCCCACAATTAAGCAGCTTGCAAAAAACCAGAAGGGGCCGCAAGTGGGACAAAGGGAATCAGAAGACTCCCAGCAGGACAAAGACCCTCAAACAACAAGCAGGCACATTGTGAACACGTTGCATCCTAGTGGAGGAGGTACTAAGACTCACAACGTTGTCGTCTAAGCACCGGCAGACTCCTGTGTCCCCACACCTTCCCAGACCCAACGGAACTCCACTGAAACATGCTTCTAGTGAAGGCGCCTGGGACTCCTACCTGTGCCAGAGTATTTCTCGTTTTGATCCAGGTTTCCAAATGATTTTTTGAAAAAAAATCTTTATATTTACAGATCGGGCTGGACCCAAATTAAAAGGCAGGATGGAATCTGTCTGTATGTCTGAGACAGGAGGGATACACAGGGGGAGGCTAAGATGCTGCTGGGGAGAAAGGGGGCATGTTCATGAAGAGCAAGAGTGGGTGGTCGGCAGGGCCCAAAAGGAGAGGTTGGGTGATTGTGATGGAGTCTGTAATCCTTTAAAAAAACACACACACACACAAACATGCATCAGGCAAAGATGCCAGAGGAACTGAATACAGGTTGCGAAAGGCTGTGCACCTTTCCTGCTTTTCTCTCTCACTACATGCTTTCTCCTGGTATGCTGAGAATACCCAAGGGTAGGTGACCACCTCTACCGACACGGCCCACCCTTTGCACTGAGAGCTTTACAATACTGCCTCCCGCTTAAAACAACAGAGGATGAAAAGTCATGAATTCACAGTGTTTTTGTTCTCCTCCCCAGGGGCCCCCCCAACCCCCCCCCCCCCCCTGGGCTCAGGGGGCCCCCCCCCCATATTTTGTCATGAATTCCCCGTTTTTTTTTTCTCTCCCCCAGGTGCCCCCCACCCCCCCCCCCCGCCGTTGCTGCCAGGGACTCCTCCTTGTATATTAGCTCTTGCCAGTGTGGCATTGGAAGGGTTAACAAACCTCGGCATCTTGGACAGATAAGACATAAGCTCATTCACCAACAGGAGCAAAGGAACTGGCGGTTATGTGGAACGGCCCCGTTAATGTTTCTTGTAACGGTTCTTTGGAGTTTCCCCACAGCCAGTTGTATCACAGGAGAGGACACTGGGCTTTTTCCCCAGGCCAACGCTCCCCAAGAGATCAGGTAGCTCGTGGGTGATGGCCTTCTCGATCTTCTCCAGGAAACAGCCTCCCATGTAGGAACACTGCTGAGCCAGGAGCTTGAAGGAGCTGATAGGATTGATCCCAAAGAAGTCCTTGTAGGCCTCGCGGTTAGGGAGGTCAAACTTGCTGACGTTGGTCTTGGCCAGAATGGACTTGAAGATGTAGAACTTGTCTGGATCCTCCACAATGTCCTTGAACACCAGTTCTCCATCACTGAAGAAGGTCATTTTGTCCTTATAGGTTTGTAAGTAGCGGTCGACAAGGAGCGCGTGGATACGGACCCTGATGGCGTGCTGACGGATGAAGGCAATCTTGTTCTCTAGCCTATTTTCAATTACCTGGTTAAGGTCTTCTAGGAGCGAGATCTCTTCTTTGAGGAAAAGGTCTCTGTGAGTGTCCGGCTGGTAGTCTGGAGCCCAAAAGGAGCTGACATAAACCCGGGGGGGCTCGGTGACATTGATCAGTGGGGCCAGGCTCCAAAACAAGGCCCCGTAGACTCGCATGAGCTCCTGAGTGGCCAGGCTGTCTGCCTTGTTCAGGATTATTCTGATCTGGGATTCGCGGCCCTTCAGCTGGCGGAACAACATCTCAAGCTCCAGCCCCACGTCCAGCTTTGTGGGGTCAAACACCACGAAAATTAGGTCGGCTCTGTCGATGAACCACTGGCAGACGTCATTAAACGGGTAGCCTACGGGAGAGGAAGAAGAGCAACATCACGTTTGAGGTCAAAGGATGTTGAGCATCTGGCTTGTGCACAGTTTGGGACGTGGAGAGGTCTAGCTAGCCTGGGCTCCACACCGCTGCGAACTCAGTCCTCTCTGCCTCTGACACCAAACCCATAAAAACCCCACCATCCTACTGGCAGTCATGCCTGGGGTGGGATTGTTAGACCACAAGGGAGAAACTTAAATGCAGAACAGGAGTAATTAAATCATTTGGTCAAACCTTGATGCCTCACGGATGGAGATTTTATAAGGAATCACCAGAATTTGGTGCATAAGCCATTTCCTATGGATTTTGTGACTGTCTAGAAAGTGGGAATAATCAATAGAAGTATTTTCAGCTGTTGACAACATTAACCTTTATTTCTTTTTTAAATTTATTCTATTTGTAGACCGCCCTCCCCTGTGAACAGGGCTCAGGGCGCTGAACAACGTTTCCAATAAATACATTCATAACATTGAAATAACCACATTCACAGATCCAGTTAAAAACGATTAAGACAGTAGCAATTCGATAACAGTTTCAGATGATGCTGAAAATACATCAATTATATATCCTTACCCCTTGGGGAGAGAGGAAAGAGAGGGCGGAGAGGAAGGAGCCAGGTTAGACAGAAACCGTTGCCATCCTCAGCCGTAGGCCTTGGGGAACATCTCTGCCTTACAAGCCCTGAGGAACTGGGCTAGGTCCCGCAGGGCACACACAAATATCGTTCGACAGAGAGTTCCACCAGGTCGGCACCAGGGCCGAGAAAGCCCTGGCTCTGGCTGAGGACCAGGGATCACATGTGAGGGTTATCATTCACCAAATTTCAGGTATTAAATATATATATAGAAATAATGCTGTGAAACCAGAAATTTTGCAAAAATATCATCTGCATCAGTGAGATTCTGTTGTAGTTTTTCATGTTTTCCCCCTGCATGCATTTCTCCAGCACAAGAGCCCCCAACAAGACTGTCTTCTTACAGTTCCCACCATGTATTCAAAGCCCGCATTTCCACTCTGGCATTTTCGACACATGTGAATATTTCTGCTGAGCATTTAATTCAGTCTCTGTGGAATCAAAACCCACACTGTATCTCTCTGAAATTTAAACACACCAAAAGCCCTTGGATGTATCTAAGATTTGCTCTCCATGCTCTGTAAGGAATATCTAGACCTACAGCTCTTGCCCACACGCTCTTACACGAATTGACAACACTCCTGGGTATCTGCACACACAGCTGTGTGGGCCATGCGACAAAGAAGTGGCGGTGATCATGTGGTTGCAGTGGTTGGCCTTCCCACAAGACAAAGAAGTGGCGGTGATCATAGCAGCAAGAAACCGTAGGATGTCTTTGAGTGATTTTTTTTAGTTCTGCCTGCTTGTGAAATATTCAGAATTTAAATCTGAAGTTAAATATTTCATCCTGAAATCAGTGACATTTTAGTCATTAAAAAAAAAAGATTGGCTGAGATACTGATTGATGTCGGACTTTTCTGACATGTGTCTAATTAGTGTAAGCCTGTCAACCCACCCTGCCCTGGTTCTGTGCCCTAAGGTGTTGGCCCCTCACCGAAAGGCGTGATATGCGAACAGTCTCCACTGACAGAGCCGACAGAGACTCAAGACAGGAGATCTCTTTTCAAAACAAAGTAAAATGTTTCTTTGTTTAGTGTTAGTAAAAATTAGAGAGCAGAGCACCTCTGTCAGTCAAGCAAGGTGGCTGAGTGCACAAGACAATATAAATACTGTTTCCTTCAACAAGCAAGTCTCTAAGATAAGACAGTGAAAGAATTTTCCCTCCCTCCCCACAAGCAAACTATACTGAAGGCCTCCGGGCCACTTCTAAAAAACTCCAGGGATCATACAAACAAATCTCCCTCAAGTTTCTAAAAGTGAACAAAAATGCCAGGCAAGAGCCACAGATTTATACAGAATGATTAAAGAGCTGCCCAAAAATTATTACACTTGTTAATTAGTTTGACATCAACCGAGATTTTGATGGCTCAGCTATTCCAGAGAGGAACATTTTGTTTACAGAACATGCTAGATAACAATTTGTATTCTGAATGGCAACACTTTCTCTGCTCTCGTCCGGATGATTCTCCTGCATGAAAGATATCACAAAACTTGGTGGTATCTCTGATGTACCAGTGGGGGGTATGAACCCCAGTGTCTCTGGGAATCACTGCTTTCCTAATTGATGGCCCCTTGGTCCAAAAAGGGTCTTTTCCCTGCCAAAATGCAGATTATTGCTTTGGTCCTGGAAATGGAATGTGTGCCCTTTTCCTGCGTACAGGCAGGTCTGTTTGAAACAAAAGGCTTAGCAAAGGCTCATGGATATTTAGTTCAGTGTGGCTAACAAAATGCACGCTGCTGGCTAATACAGACACAAAAATCTACACTAAATATCTAAATGCTGTGTTTTTTATTTTAAACCCAAACCAACTATGAATCTCAATTTTCTCACTAAATTGATTCCTAGAGTTGCCAGCCTCCAGGTGGGGCCTGGAGGTATCCCGCCTTTACAACTGATCTCCAGCTGACAGAGATCAGCTCCCCTGGAGAAAATGGCTGCGAAGAAGAAGAAGAGATTGGATTTATACCCCGCCCTTCACTCAGAGTCTCAGAGCGGCTTACAAACTCCTTTCCCTTCCCCTCCCCACGACAGGACACCCTGTGAGGTGGGTGGGGCTGAGAGAACTCTGACACAAACTGCTCTTTCAGGAACAGCTGTGCCAGAGCTTGTGACTGACCCAAGGTCACATCAGCAGGTGTAAGTGTTGGAGTGGGGAATCAAACCCGGTTCTCCCAGATTAGAGTCTGCACACTTAACCACTACACAGTGGACTCTATGGAACTGTACCATGCTGAGGCCCCTCCCCAAATCCCACCCTCTCCGGGATCCACCCCCAAAATCCCCAAGTAGCTTCCAACCCAGACCAGGCAACCCTACTGATGTCACTGCAGGACTGTAATGTCAGGATAAGGCCACTGCTGTTTCCTATTTTACCTTGCTCTCAGGGCCCCCCTGAAAATTCAAAGAAAGTTGAAAATCACCTCGTTCTTGCTGCTTCCGATTCTCAATGATCCCCGGGGTATCCACAAAGGTAACCCTCTCCAAAAGCTTATGAGGCACCTCAATCCCAATCAGCTTCTCCAGAAAGTTCTGCCCAAACTTTTCAAGTGGGGAGAAGGAGCGAGCGCTGTCGGCGGCCATGACAATGCCTTCGATGGTCTTGAGCTTGGGGCCGTGCATGATGACGGTGAACTCTGAGGTGGTCGGCTCGGCTCCTGTCCATGAAATGAAGGGTGCGTGGGGGTTCCGAGACAAAAAAAAAGCAAACACTCAGCTTCCTCAAGGCCAAATCATTTGCAGTGGTTGGCCTTCCCACAAGACTTTTTTTTGACCCGACCTGAAGGTGCTGATTCTCCGATTTCTGCAGCAATACTACATTATCTATGACTCTGGGGACTGGCAAGGGTTATTGGATGCCTACCATGATGGGGCCTGCTGCTCCCTGAGCATTCCCGTTTTGACTTTTTTGAAGCAGTCCTTGGTTGAAACGGGCTGTGAAGGAATGGACTCATAATCCCCACTCCCTCAGAGAATCCCATGGCTATCCCACCTCTCTGCTCAGAGCTGCTGCCCCATTTCCTCACTCCCAAAACCTGCCAAAACTTTGGAGTGGTTTTGATCTTCCTGCCTCCAAGAGAAAGAGAAAATTATCTAGCCCTTCAGTCGTCCCAGGCTATGCCCCTTGTAATGTAACATTAAAACAAGGTGTAAGATGGTAAACCTATTGTTCTAATTCAGCCAGACCTATTAGCATAAGAACATAAGAGAGAAGCCCATGTTGGATCAGGCCAATGGCCCATCCAGCCCCACAGGCTGTGTCACACAGGGGCCAGAAATACCAGGTGCCCTCAGGAGGTCCACCAGTGGGGCCAAGACACTAGAAGCCCCTCTCACTGTTGACACACCCCCCCAAGCATCAAGAAGACAGAGCATCACTTGCCCCAGACCGAGAGTTCCTATCTAACTCTTAGTTGCCTGCTTGGCATTTCAGCAAGAGCTCTTGTGAAATATTAATGCAGACAGACAGAGCATCACTTGTCCCAGAGTCCCTATCTATACCTTGCAGCTAATAGCCACTGATGGACCTCTGCTCCATATGCTTATCTATAAGAACAGAAGAGAAGCCAATGTTGGATCAGGTCAATGGCCCATCCAGTCCAACACTCTGTCACACAGTGGCCAAAAATACCAGGTGCCCTCAGGAGGTCCAGCAGTGGGGCCAGGAAACCAGAAGCCCTCCCACTGTTGCCCCCCACCCCAAGCACCAAGAATACAGAGAGCATCCCTTGACCCCCAGAGCGAGAGTTCCTATCTGTACCTTGTGGCTCATAGCCACTGATGGACCTCTGCTCCATATGTTCATCCAATTCCCTCTTATAAGAACATAAGGGAAGCCAATGTTGGATCAGGTCAATGGCCCATCCAGTCCAACACTCTGTCACACAGTGGCCAAAAATACCAGGTGCCCTCAGGAGGTCCAGCAGTGGGGCCAAGACACCAGAAGCCCTCCCACTGTTGCTCCCCCCCCCCCAAGCACCAAGAATACAGAGAGCATCCCTTGCCCCCCAGAGCGAGACTTCCTATCTGTACCTTGTGGCTAATAGTCACTGATGGACCTCTGCTCCATATGCTTATCCAATTCTCTCTTGAAGCTGTCCATGCTTGTGGCCGCCACCACCTCCTGGGGCCGTGAATCCCATGTGTTAATCACTCTTTGGGTGAAGAAGGACTTCCTTTTATCTGTTCTAACCCGACCGCTCGGCAATTTCATGGAGTGCCCACGAGTTCTTGTATTGTGAGAAAGGGAGAAAAGGACCTCTTTCTCTACCTGCTCTATCCCATGCACCATCTTGTACACCTCAATCATGTCACCCCTCAGTCGTCGTTTCTCCAAGCGCTTTAACCTTTCTTCATAGGGAAAGTGTTTCAACCCTTTTATCCTCCTAGTTGCCCTTTTCTGCACTTTTTCCAAAGCTATAATATCCTTCCTGAGGTATGGTGACCAGGACTGTATTCTCTCGATTTATACAGGGGCATTATGATACTGGCTGGTTTGTTCTCTGTTCCCTTCCTAATAATCCCCAGCACAGCGCTGGCCTTTTTCCCTGCATCTGTAAGCACTAAGTAATCCTGTACTTGGGGCATGAGACCCCTCCTTTCTACCAGGTACAATTTTGCAACCTCATGAACAGAGTCTGTAGCCCCAATGGTTGAATGATGGGGCTGGATTCTAGGATGGAGAGCATTTCTCCACACAAGCAAATGTCTCAGTCCCTCGTCCCTTGTCTCGTGTTCCAAATGGCTTGAGACAACGTTTCTGGATGAAATCAAGGGACCATTCATCGGCTTTTGTGGCCCCCATCTTTTGTCATGAAATGAAGGGGATTTCTCCACCGTCTGTAGCCATCATGCTATCGGCCTGGTGCCCAAGTGGGGGATAATGAACCCACTGGAGACAGACTGCCTCTCTCTGGAGGCCACGTGCCCCACAGCTCTAGGTCTAGGTTGATTCGAGATGCACCGTGGCCCAGGACCCTGTCTGCCCAGCCGTCTTATAAGCAAGAGGAAGCCCATGTTGCTGACCTCGATTAATTCCTCCCCAAGGTTTTATTTCACAGGCTAATTCAATTCAGAGATTCTCTGCTGGGCTGAGACCAGGGATCAAAAAGGCTAGGAAGTGGGGGACGGATGGAGGAGGGAAAGCGGGAAAGGTCACTCCTGCTCCGGCTAATTGGCTCCACACAGGGAAGGCAGATGGGGCACATTCCTCTGGCTTGCTGAGGACGCTCCCTCCCATCGAGGGCTGCCAAGGAAGCCTGGGAGGAAAAGTCTCCTTGTCCCTTTAATAGAGACTGCTTCTCTTCGTGTGTGCAAACGGGCAGCTGAAACGTCTCACAGTATGGAGGTAAATAACATCCCGTTAAGCCCCTATTAAAGGGATAGGACATTTTTCTGCCAGGAAGTTGGCAGCCCTCGTTCTGTCTGCCAAGCGGGGAGCAGCCAGCCCCTGGGAAGCCTTCAGAAGGCTTCAACCCGCAGGCAGCAGGGGGCCCAGAGATCAGGGAGAGGACAAAAGTCCTGCCAGGGTGGTGCATTCTCTCGCCCAGGTGAAGCTCTGTGTAGTTGGCAAGGGCAGAAGGCCAGGCTCCTACCAACCTGTCCAGGAACTGAAGAAGAAGAAGAGGAGGAGGAGATTGGATTCATACCCCGTGGCCCTTCACTACCTGAAGGTGTCTCAGAGTGGCTCACAAACTCCTTTCCCTTCCCCTCCCCACAACAGACACCCCCTGTGAGGTAGGCGGGGCTGAGAGAGCTCTGGACAGGAACTGCTCTTAAGAGAACAGCTCGGAAAGAACTTGTGACTGACACCAGTCACACCAGCAGGTCACACCAGCAGCTGCATGTGGAGAAGCGGGGAATCAAACCCGGCTCTCCCAGGTTAGAGTCTGCGCTCCTAGCAACTACCCCAAACTGCACACTACTGATCAGCACCAAGGGTGTGCCCCCCCCCCCGCCCCAATGCCCTGCTGTTTAATGACAGAGTCCTAGGTAGCTGTCTAGCCTCAGCCCCTTGGTCAGACCCAGGAATCCTCAGCTTGCACTTTGGGAGTCCAGATGGCCCCTTTGCCCCAGTGGGCAGGGACAGGCCAGGGGTGCAGGGAATGAAGAACGAGGAAGGTGCCATTACCCGTGTAGAGCTGGTAAGGCGTGTCGTCCAGTCCCAGCAGATAGTTGATCATGGTGGATTTGCCAACGCTCCACGGCCCCAGGAACAGCACCATCGGCTTGGAAGTAATCTCTCCATCTGCAAGGAAGAGGGGAGCGGAGAGGGTACCCCTCTGACTTCTTCCTCCAGAGAAGAGTCAGTCCCTCCAAGCTCACGCAAACATTCCCCAGCCCAGCCCAGCCCAGCCCAGCCCAGCCCAGCCCAGCCCAGCCCAGCCCAGCCAGCCATTCCAAGGGGCAATGCAAGCTAGGGAAGCGTCATGTGGCCACCCTGACCTCGCGGGACAGAGGGGTGCGCCTCCAAGCTGACCGGCAGCCAGCCACCCAGCATGCAACAGCAGGAA